AAGAAAAAACAAGAAAAGAATATAGTAAAGAAAAAGAAAAGAAATATATATATATAAATACTTCTACCCTCATCATCATTAAGTATAAAACAGTTTTAGAAACTTTTCATCTTCTTTTAAAATACAACAATTCCATATCTCATGTCTTATCTATAAACACATTTTTAAAGCTTCATCATTCAGTCCTGATTAGCAAAAATCCATTAAGGATTATTAGAGATAGCAATATATCATCTTAATCTTGATCAACTAAATAAACTTTATATTGCTTCCTTTTACTTTCCCCAATCTTAATTTTTAAATCCTTCAAATAATGTTGTAGAACTTGTTTTTTTTTTCTTGTTTTTTTGTTGCCCCTTCTCACAAAATTCTTTAGCAAGTTGCTTTTGTAAATCCAATATAGGAAAGTTATCCAGCTCACCCTTTTGGTTTGTTACTTGTGTTTTTCTTTTAATTATTACGACATCATATTGAATGTAGCTTCTTTTTCCATATTATTTTTGTAGCCTGTCATTTTAAAATCTACTTTCAGATCAGTCTCAGTTTTGACTGGTAAAACTGGTTCCTCTGTCATTACATCTTTTAAACAGCATATGCTTAATGGCAGCCACTCTTAAAATTAACTTGCAAGTCTATTGTTCACAAATACCCTCTAATAAGTTAAAGTAATTTGCTCCTCTAAAATATTCTATATTAATACGTCCAGCTTAAATGTTCCTCTCCTTTAATTGTAAACTCTTCTTCTTTCTGGTTCCTTTCAGTGTCCAACATTCATCCTATCAATTTTTTAAAGAATTCAAAATGATAGCATTTTCCTATGGGGAGTATTTTTATAATTAATTTCAAATCTTATTTCAAATCCAAATAGATCCTTAATCTGTTTGTAGCTTTCTAAAATCAAAGCTTTAATTACCGTTTTACTCTTTCTTTCAGAAAAAAAGAAGTCCTTGAACTTGTATTTAAAATTTCTTCTTGTAAGGATTGAATGAAACTCACACGGCGCTATAAAGCCTGTCAATCAAAAAATCCCTAATAACTGAAAAGCAATTTAAAAAATATTTCTAAAAGTGATCAGAGAAGGCAATATGCAAACCCAGTGTCCTTTGGAAAGACACTGACCATGGTTAGGGGAAAAATGGCATTCTCTTGTCTCTCTAAACTCATTGGAAATAGCTGTCGTGCAGTCTCCTCCTGAGGAGCAACTATCTAGACCACTTGTGGGCAAATCTCAAATTATCTCCTTGTATAGAGAGGAATTACAAATATCTGGTCTATTCTCTAGGTCTAGGACTTCATTCTGCTGCAGTTGTCCGCTATGGTTACTAACATTCACCATTTCTCCCCTTCAAGCCTCTCAATAACATATTTTCTCACTTCCTGTAAAGGGTAAAATATTCAGGTTGAGTGTGATTCTCAATGGACCATAGGAATATGATGGGTTTTTTTAAAAAAAAATAGAAGTGGTTTTAATTCCCAAAGCAATTATATGACATAGAAAAGTTCAAAATTCTAGTTTTATTTTTTTTTTAAGCTTGGAGTATCTATATACTACTAAAACTCTGGGAGCCTGTTCAATACTTTGTAATTTTCAGTTGGGTGAAAGTCTACACCATAGGGCAAAAGTTTCTCATCAAAGGTACCCCAGATGAGCTAATCTTTAGAATGCAGGGATCCATTATTCTCGAGGGGATGAAATTTGATAATTCTTTTGACACTTAGTGCTGCTACACTGCTGCCATTTCAGCACTGGCTCACTCATCTGCAATCATGTAATATTCATTTTGAACTTTCCACAACAGCTTCCCACAAGTTGATGGGGAATCCAGAAAAAGTTGATATGATTGCTGAGGCACCCACAGTTCTTGCCGCCTTCTCACCAGGAAAATCTAGTGGG